TGTAAATGCCATGAAAAACACTAAAGAACCAATGCAACTTAAAGAAGACCGAACAGATAGGACAACTAAATGCAAAACCTGATCCCCCAAAATGCCATCAAGGATATTACTGGGATAACTGGCAAAATTGGGAGATATACTGTAACTTACATAAAAGTCTTGTATAATTTAAAATTTTCTGAGTTCGATAACCATATGTAAGAGGTATCCTTTTCTGAAAATACACAGTGAAGTATTAAGGGGCCAAGAAGTATGATGTATACAACCACGTCTTTCAAATTATTTCAAAATAAATTTTGAAAAGACAGAAATTGAAGGTGCAGCCCTGATCATGTTTGTGTGGTTCTTCCAGGAGAGAAAGCATTATTTATCACAATTAAAACTTTGGTACCAAAAGACTGGATTAGTATTGCAGCATATTGGCGAGGTAGGAAAATCTAAAACAGTATGGAATACCTTTTACTTTATTTAAAATCAAAGACTATCTGAGAAAAATACACTTTGCAATTAGTACTTGTGGTGTAGTAAGAAATATTATTTGGTCTTGGTCCCCAGTTCTTGTACAGAGTTCCTAAAAACTGCTGGAATTTCTTGAGTGACAGGAGTATCTTTTGCTATTCATAAGCAGCCCCTTTTGATCAGACCTGAGTTTATGCTAATGAGGTGACTTAGGGTGAGGCTACTACAGAACCTCGGTCACCAGAAAGACCAAGTGATTATTAGAGAGTGGGAACTTTCAGTACCAGTCCAGTTCCCCTGGGAAAGGGGGTGGGGACGATGGCGATTAAGATCCATAAAAACTTTTGAACAAGGAGAGTTGATGAACTTTCAGGTTGGTGAACACATCTAGGTGCTGGGGGGTGGCAAGAGCAGAGGGCAAGGATGCACCGTGCCCTGCCCGACCCCACCCCCAATACCTAGTCCTATGTGTCTTTTCCATCTGTTCCTGAGTTGTATCCTTTTATAAGAAACTGGTAAATATAAGTAAAGTGTCTCCCTGAGTTCTGTGAGCTATTATAGCAAATAATCTAACCTGAGTAAGGGGTTGTGGGAAGCCCTGATTTACAGCTGGTTGGTAAGAAGGATAGGTCAAAACCTGGGGCTTGCGCTTGGCATCTGAAGTGGGGGCAGTCTTTCCGGGCTGAGTCCCTAACTTGTGGGATCCGAAGTTACCACCAGGTAGACAGTGTTAGAATTAAGTTGTAGCACACCCCGTCAGTGTCTGCCTAGAGCTGGAGAACTCCTGGATGTGGGGAGAAAACACATCTGGTGGCCAGAAGAGTTGAGTCTGTGAGTAGGAAGAAAGTTTTTCTCTTCAGTAGTTAACTTAAGATCAGCATTCTGACATATAAAATCTTCTATTTTCAGCCCCTGGCTAAAATTTTGCTTCTATCAAATACTGAATTTAGTCTGTAAAATAAAGATTACCTGTTAAATCTACCTCATAGGTAACTGTAATGATCAAATGAGAGAATAGATGCAGAAAAGTATTAAAGACTGACTTAAAGAGTAAAGTGTTACAGCACTCAAATGATTACTTTATGACTAAGTGATAGAGAGTAAAATAAAATATAAAAGTAATTTTAATAGTGTCTTTAAAACAAGTAGGCATAAGTTAAAAAACTTAAGGAGAAAAACCAACCTCTGCCAAAAACAGAACCAAGGACTAAGGAGAGAGACAGACAGACAGACAGCAGGCTTAATAGCAGCTGGAGGCAACAGGACAAAATGCGGAAAACCCACACCTAACTCCTCATGTTATACAGACAGGATGGAGGAACTGTAAAAATGAGTGAAGCAAAAACAGGAAACAAAATAAGGTGGGGCTTCCCATTTTGAACAAATATGAAAACTCAAGCTGCTTACTTGAGCTTCCTGGCTATTGAGGTATGCCTGTGGTTTCTCCCTCTGGTGTGTCATTCATCCTGCCTTGCCCTGGGGGTTAGTGAATTTACTCTCTGGGTGGTGTTTATAAACTGGACTGGGACTGAAACTGCTAGGCCACTGACTGCTGGAGAATACTCTCCCTGGCCCCCTAGCTGGGGGGTAGAAAGCAGAAGTTCAACGTAACAGAGACCAAAATTAGAGAGAGGTCATGACTAGGTACAGTGAGCACAAGCTCTGCAGTCAGTCTGAATCTGGACGCAGCTAATTACCAGCTTGGAATCAGTTATGTCACCCAATCATTCCCAAGTGGTCTCTGAATTGGTGTCTGTCTGAGACACGTTTTTCACTAGTCTATAACCAAATGAGAAAAACTAGCACAACATAGTATTGAAATAGGAGGGAAGGGGGCAGGGCACAACCTTTGAAAGAATGACACAGCCCAAGGACGTGACATAAACAGATTAGAACCAAATGGGTCCAAGATGGCAGACAGGTCGACTTCCACTAGACCTTGAGCCCCAGTAAAAGCTCATTGTAACGCATCAGCAAGCTAAATGACAAACCCACAGGTGCCATGACAGTTCCAAGGCTACCATAAGGATCAAAAAGTGGGCGGTGGCCCAATTCCTGGAAATCCCCACCCCTTCCTGAAACAGCTGGAATACTCCTCCCACTCATTAGCCTATGAAATTACCCACCACTATAAAAAACTGACAACCCCATACCCTTGTGCCTTTCTCACCTTCTGAGATGGCCCATGCTCTGTTTGTTGAGTGCATTTCTCCCAAGGCATCTCGCCTTCTGAGACGGCCCACACTCCCTCTGCGAAGTGTGTTTCTCTCTAAATAAATCCACTTCTTACCTATCACTTTGTCTCTCACTGAATTCTTTCTGCGATGAGACATCAGGAACCTGAGCTTCATTAAGTCCTGAAACCAGGTGTGTGATCTCAGTTGGAAGACTGTGGGTTTTCCCTGGGTTCGAGTCCTGGCCTCGTGGGTTCAAGTCCCAATCTGGGTTTTGGCCAGGTTTGAGTCCCGGACATGTGGGTTCAAGTTCCAATCTGAGGTGCATGGTTTCAGTATAGTTTTTTTTTTTTTTTTAAAAAACTATATGACTTTTGCAATGAAATATTCAAGTAACGCATGCAGTTATTTTTATTTTATTTTATTTTATTTTTTTGCGGTACGCGGGCGTCTCACCGTTGTGGCCTCTCCCGTTGTGGGGCACTCTCAACCACTGCACCACCAGGGAAGCCCCAGTATAGTTTTTCATAATACTAAATTTATTGTCTTCGTTTTCATGTTGTAATTATCTTCCTCCCTTTTTGGTGGTAAAAAAATTTTTTTTTTTGTTTTGAAAGGATGGGGATGGTAGATTGTAGTAGGTTTTTTGTTGTTGTTGTTTGTTTGTTTGTTTGCGGTACGCGGGCCTCTCACTGCTGTGGCCTCTCCCGTTGCGGAGCACAGGCTCCGGACGCGCAGGCTCAGCGGCCATGGCTCACGGGCCCAGCGGCTCCGCGGCATGTGGGATCTTCCTAGACTGGGGCACGAACCCGTGTCCCCTGCATCGGCAGGCGGACTCTCAACCCCTGCGCCACCAGGGAAGCCCTATGCCTAACTTTTAATTAAGTCTTTATAGCTACCATAAAAGAATCAGATAACAGATTATAAATCATTGCTCACAGTTGACTAGTTAAAGGTCCACTATTAGAAGATAACGCTAAACATTTTTCCTTTATTTCTGCAAGCCATGTAACATAACTCAAATAGTTATAGTAGTTACACAATATATATTTACCTATCATTTGTGTAACTACTATAGTGTGTGTATATATATGTGTATACACACACGCGCACACACGCAGCTGTGTATGTGGGGGGGTTGTAACGTAATGACTGTTTCTTCTCTAATTTCCAGAATGCTTGGCAACTAAAAATCAAAACTTAGGAGCACAACACTGCACTTAGCTTTACAGCATGAACAGTGCTTAAGGAGCATACAAGCTTAAGAGGAGGCTGGAGCTATTAAGTTAGATTGCCTGAGTTCGACTCCAGGCTTTGCCACGCAAAACCTGTGATCTTGGGTAAGTTACTTAGCCTTTCTAATTTTCATTTGTAACCTGGAGATAATAAAGAGTACCAACTTCAGGGCATTACTTTGAGATAATTCTTGCAGGAAACAGCACTCAGCTCCTGATTAACAATTAATACATGCTTCCATGTTATCAGTTGCAACACTAAAAGAAATAACAGTGCTATCAACTGTTTTGTTTTGAAGTGACTGCCACAAACATTAAGAAGGTAAATCAAACAGATATGCGATAACACGTTTTGTAAGGAAGCACTTCTGTTGAGATCTGTTAGTTTGATTAAGCTTCTTCTCACCAAACGGCAACGGAAATTTTCTAGAATTATCTTCGGAACCAAGAAAGTCAAATCCGGGACCTCAGTGTAACACCACACAAGCAGAAATGGATATCACCAGCGTGAAAGAAACACCTGCCAATCCTGGTCCACAGATGTCATTTCACATGAATGGACAGAACCGTTCCAATTTAGAACTTTCTAGCCTGCAACAAACGTCCTTTAAAGCAAGGAACAATCACAACACACAAACAAAATGCCTAAGTCCTGCCATTAATTCACCCCTGCAGAAAAAGAGAACTATTAGATAAAAGGATTTGGAGCGACAAAATCGGTCTTTAAGGGGCGCGGGAGTAAAGGGTATACGAGATGCTCCTGTTAAGGAAGCCGCAGGGCCTTACTCCAGGTTGGGAAGGGGGGGCGCCCTGGGACGAGCGAGTCTCGACCGGGAAGTCGCGTCCCCAAACCGTGCGCCAGGGAAGAGCCGCCCACGGGCAAACAGGGGGTGGCGAGACCCCACCGTTCCCCACGGTCTCAGCCGGGACTCGACGAACCACTTCCCTTCACCCTGCCCTCCCATCCGCCAAGCTGGGACCTTGAGGGCCGCACGCGCGGAGGCCGGCGGCGGGTCCGCGCTCGGCTCCCCGGGCCGGGGTGAGGAGGCCGGCGCCCGGTCCCATCCCGGAACTCCCGCCCGGGCCCCGCCGCGGCAGGCCGCCCGCAGCTGCGAGCCGTGCGGAGCCTTACCCGACGTCTAGCCAGGCGACAGGTGGTGCTGCCGGCGGAAAGGCCGCGGCCCCGCAGCCCACCCGGACGATGCTCAGCTCCGGCCGAGTTCGGCCCTCCCCTTCTCGAGGCTTTCCGGAGCCGGCTCCAGGTCAGGATCGGAATGGCTTGGTCGGATGGATAATAGCCGAGGCAGCCAGTAAATCCGCGTACTGGGAAGAGGGAACAGGGAGTACAGCCGGCGCGGCCCCATGGGGGGAGACTGACGGGCGCGCAGGCCAATACGGAGGCAGGAACCCAGCCTTGAGGGGCGGGGCTCCGCTTTGAGGTTTCGCGACCGGCGCACCCGCGTTCCAGCCTCGCAGTACCTTCCTCTGTTTGGTGGCTAGAGGTTATCATTTAGGGCCAGGTGCATGCCCTTAAGGGCCCGACCCCAAGTAGTGAGAGAGGGGTCGTGTAGGGTGGGGGGAGTCCGGATATAAAGACGAATACCGCCGCCCCACGAAAAGACCTGGGGCTGGCTACCGCAGACTTCGCCTTCCCGCGGCTGGCGGTATGGTTTGGGGTGATGGCTGCGTTTTCGCGCGAGAAGAGGCTCTGCGCAGGCGCGGGCGAGGCCGGGAATCGGGTGGGATGGGGCGTGTCGACGGGTACCAGTCTCCGACCCCGAGAAGAGAGGAAGGCTGGGACTTTAGGTCGGTTCTGGACAGCCAGTGGAGGCAGGGAGAGGATTACAGAGATTTAAGAGCGGGATACACGCCAGGAGAATGGAGAAGCAGAAGAGGGAGGACCCAGGAAATGCGAAGCCTCCGCAGTTGAGGAACGCTTTATGTTTCTGAGCAATTTTTGTCTAAGAGTTGCTCTTCTGCCGAATTCTTTGCTACTCCCCACGGTTGCTTACACACTTTGGCCTGCAGGGAATTTACTAATGATCCCTACAATCACAGTCACCATAAATAGATATTCAATGTTCCCTCTCAGAAAAGCACTGGAACCCTAAATTGTCATCTTGAAAGCTGCAGGACCATACCTTAATACATCTATACTCACCCACGGTTATGATATTGGAGGATATTTCTTCATTCTTATTTCAGAAAATGTTATCACCCAAAATTCTTTACTGTAATCGGGTTCGTGTGATTTTAAAGTATAATAATAATAGTTTTTAACTAAAGATGTAAAGGATAAAAAAGAGGTAAGGCAGGGCTTCCCTGGTGGCGCAGTGGTTGAGAGTCTGCCTGCCAATGCAGGAGACACGGGTTCGTGCAGCGGTCCGGGAAGATTCCACATGCCGCGGAGCGGCTGGGCTCGTGAGCCATGGCCGCTGAGCCTACGCGTCCGGAGCCTGTGCTCCGCCACAAGAGAGGCCGCGATAGTGAGAGGCCCGCGCGCCGCGATAGTGAGAGGCCCGCGCACCGCGATGAAGAGTGGCCCCCACTTGCCGCAGCTAGATAAAGCCCTCGCACAGTAAACGAAGACCCAACACAGCCAAAAAATAAATTAATTAATTTTTAAAAAAGTTAAAAAAAATCAAAATGGGGTAACTGTGGTTCAGGCATTCAAAATGGAGACTAGTGGCCATTGTGGATATGGTTTCAGACACATGCCTGCATTACTGAGAACTTGAATTTTCTTTTTTTTTTTTTGCGGTTCGCGGGCCTCTCACTGTTGTGGCCTCTCCCGTTGCGGAGCACAGGCTCCGGACGCGCAAGCTCAGCGGCCATGGCTCACGGGCCCAGCCGCTTCACGGCATGTGGGATCTTCCCGGACCGGGGCACGAACCCATGTCCCCTGCATCGACAAGCGGACTCCCAACCACTGTATCACCAGGGAAGCCCTTGAATTTTCTGAACTATAATCAGACTCAAGGACACCACCAGCCCTTCTCAAAACGATGTCTGCTAGCAGCTGCCAGCTGCAACATTATGGTCTCAACGTCTCTCCTGTAACTCTGCCACCATTTCAAACCCCAACCAATCCTTGCTTAATAAGCCCCCTAACTTCTTGCCAGCTCCAATCCTAATTATTGACAAACAACTTATCAAGTTTGTGGGTTTTGCCTTTATAAGCCTCCCCCATTTTGTAGTCTGGCAGAACACAATTCAAGTCCTTCTCGAATGTGTGGCTCCGGGCTATAGTCCTCAGCTTGGCGCAAATAAAACTCTCTTCTATTCCTATTATGGATTGTTTATTGATTATTTTCATTGCCGTTACCATTATATCACCTGAAATAGACTAGATTTGAATTTTGTAATAGAGCTCTAGAGCAGGCATGAGATCTCCTCTTGCATGTCTATTCCATCCCGTGTCCATGTGATTGGACAGAGGTCATGGGTGCAGGGCTAACTTTGTGTGATGGTGGGAGAGATAGGCAGGTTGCTAGGGTGAGAAGCTTCTGAGGATAACCATTGCACCCCTGCACTCAGCCTCTCTCCCCAACTGCTGACCGGTTTCCTCTATACCAGGAAATAAGTTTTCATTCAACAACCTTCAGAAATGATGAGAAAGAAAGACAATGAATTCAAAGAGTTCTTGGGTGCCATACCTGTGTTTCTCATTGTCCCCAAATGTCGGAAATTCACTTTGGAGCCCATCACTGTCTCCAATCTGTTAAAAACAAAATTTAACTGAGTAAATTTGAAGATTTAATTGGCTTTATTCATGAATCAGGCAGCATCTCATCTGGCAAATAGAGACATACTCCCAGAAGCGATTACCTCTTAAACTTGGGTTACCTAGAAAGCTCTGTGGAAGAGCACAAGAGCAAATCTTGACTTAAGTAGAAAAGTTCCTTAAATAATGTATTACCTACAAGTTCACTAACTCTTATCCATAATTCCGGAATCCAGAAGGGTTTTTTTCCCCATGATTTTGTAATTTTGGTGGAGCCAGAATTTATTTGGTGACAAATAAGAATTTGTCACAAGGCTGTCTATAGTCTTCATTTCTCCAACATAATGTAAATATTTACATGTTTCTCTTCAGTAACAAGAATGTTTTGTGGCACTACCCCAGATCCCACTGAGGATATTATAAAACATACAGTATATGCTCCTTATAATGTTTTCCCAAATCCCAAAGTTTCTAAATTCTGAAGCCCAACTGGCTCCAAGAACTTCTTCCATTTTTATGAGCCAATCCTTCTTATGGCAAAATAAATTAGGGAAAAACTACGTATAGTTCTTAATTTCAGTTTTGCTGGGATTAAGCAGAAAATTTTTTACGTAAATACTGTTTATTACAACACTTAAAAAGCTAAATTTATTGTGAGTGAGAAATGATCATGACATTTTACTTGGTGCTGTGAGCACAGAAATGACTGATCGGATGAGTTATGAGAACTTAGCTTTTAAGGAGAAATTTTTGATGACAGAAGTCAGTAAAGGTTAGCTTTAAGGGGGTTGGCTGAAAAGAGACACAAGGGAACATTCTATATCTCAGTCTGGACACTAGCTATACAAGTGTATTCATGTGTAAGAAATCATCAAGTTTGAGTGATGTAATGTACACACGTTACTGCATGAATTTTATATCCACCCCAGTAAATATATAAAATAAACCATTTGTATTGTGCACTGCTGTTTCTTTTGGAGCAAATGTTCTCCATGGAAACTGTTATGGATCTAATACCTTTCTTCTAGGCTTTCCTCTTTGGTGTCCTCCACTGGACCCTCTAAGAAAAAGGTGGGGACCATTCTTGGCTGCTCAGAATGTAGCTCACCAGGCCTTCTGGAGTTGTCAAAATAGCCATGCAGAAAATACAAAAAAGTGCTGAGCCTGGAAATAAGGCACAGGCGTTTCCTGGAAGGATGATTACAAGGCCGGTGATCTGGTAAAACAAGGTGCCAAGGCCCAAATCAACAGGAAACTAGGAGGAAGAAATACGTATTGGGGTAGGTCACTGAACAAACAGAAGCATGTGGGTGTGGAGCAGCCTGTGTGAGTCCTGTGCTGTTGGGAGTTGAGGCCACCCACCATCTCTGGGTTTGCCTTTGGTTGGGCTGGTTCACCTGTGAAGTGAGAGGAGCTATAAAGGGGCAGGCTGATGCTGCACACTTGGCTACATGACTTCCCTGTAAAACTTCATTAGGCAAAGTTTAAAGAGGTGTGTAGCCAGTTGTCTCGAGATGGGTACACATTTGCCCACTTTCTCAAAATCAAAGAAGGATGCTTGGAAAAACTTTTGTATCAATTGCCATGAAAATAGAGCAGCTTGATTTCTTTCTTTTTTTGTTTGTTTGTTTTTTTGCTTGCGGGATCTTAGTTCCCCAAACCAGGGATTGAACCCGGGCCCCGGCAGTGAAAGCACCAAGTCCTAACCACTGGACCGCCAGGTAATTCCCTAGAGCAGCTTGATTTAATCCAAACACTACAATGTATTTTCTTAAGGGAAAACCATATTATTGATGTTTCAGAGAATTATGGAAGGTCATTCTCTTTGTAATGAGAATATACGTGAGCAGGATCATTGGTTTTAGGTTGGCACATTATCTATCGCTAAAGCAGACTGTGCTAACCACATTTTTTTTTTAAGTTAATTTATTTTTGGCTGCATCGAATCTTCGTTGCTGTGCGCGGGCTTTAGTTGCAGCGAGCGGGGGCTACTCTTCGTTGCGGTGCGCGAGCTTCTCATTGCAGGGGCTTCTCTTGTTGCGGAGCACGGGCTCTAGGTAAACAGGCTTCAGTAATTGTGGCACGCGGGCTCAGTAGTTGTGGCTCACTGTCTCTAGAGTGCAGGCTCAGTAGTTGTGGCTCACGGGCTTAGTTGCTCCGCGTCATGTGGGATCTTCCCAGACCAGGGCTCGAACACCTGTCCCCTGCATTGGCAGGCTGATTCTTAGCCACTGCACCACCAGGGAAGTCATAATCACATGTTTAGATTTACACAACTCCATCTGCCTTAGAATAGGAAATATGAATAATGAATGCTGACTGCGCTGCTGGGAATTATCCCTCAGTAAATTAGGGTTATTAAAAATGTAAACTCTTTAAAAATACAAGAGAAAGTAAACAGTATATCTAAAGGCATTTGTGCTAGACACTCTGCAAAAACAAACTTGTCAGCCTAGTCTGGGGGTGAGACATAAAAACATTTGGTGAAGGTAAGTACTATCATTAAGAAACAACAATGTTTTCATTATTCCCAAAATACAATAATGTGCTAATGATGATAATTACCTCCATAAAAGTGCTAACAATTCTTTATATAATTAAAATAAATATAACTTTGCAGGCTGTCTGAAAGAGTAAACTAATAGCATAATAAACAGT